TTAACTATGGTACAATGCAGGGACCGATTGTTCGAAAGCCAATTATCCTTTCTCACGAAGGCCAAAATCCGCCATTTTTTGGGCACTGTCTACCCTCGTGAAAGATTCTAGACAATTCAAACAACATGAAAAGCGACTTTTAAAAGTCGTAACTGTAAATTTACCATTATACAAAAGACTACAATACTGAAAAGTTGTATTTCGTGGTGCGGAGACTCAGACTCTCGATTGTGGGAGAGGCAGTACCTCAAAAATGGCGTGAAAATCGGCCGTGAGAAAAGCTAATTATAACTTAACCCTGGGTCAACCTAAAATTCAAAGCAAACTTCCTGACAGTTTGTCTACAAATTTTGAAAAAATTGTTTTCAGAAATCTTGTCTAGATCGTTAGGAACTTCTTATCAGAAGATTTGAAATAAACAGACATGCAGAAGTACATAAACTAAAACAGCAAGTTATTAAATTTTACTACTAAAGTGTCACTCGTTAGCGCTAATCCAGCTTTGAACAACCGGTCATCCAGTGCGCGAATTAAACGAATTTTTTTCTGTCGTATACTATCAAACCAATACTATGATATTATTCTGGTTATGTCTAATTGTGATTATATATTAAAATATGTTATATAGGACATAGAGCCTGCGTATCAGTCGCTTTATCTTTTGAGGATTTTTAATCTATATATGACAAAATAAATCAGTTGTTACATACTTCACGGGATAGTCTGCTTGCAAGACCCTGTGCTGTGAGTAATGTATACATCATATCACACCCATATCGTATCAACTTTCTCGTGAGTTCGTTCAAGGTTCAAGGTGAACCTCACCGGTCAAAACGGTCCCAAGTCAAAACGGTCCCAAGTCAAAACGGCCCCAAGTCAAAACGACTATTGCATGCCTTGAAAATTATTATACAAATAAAATTATTATTACACGAGTTCATACTATAAATTTTCTGCCAAATTATAAAATTAGCTCAAGGATTAGGTCATTTAGATTGTAAATATTGAACTATGGAGTTATTTTATTAAAATATTCTCGACTTCGTCTCGGTGAATATTCCCCGATATAAATCACCTCGCCTTCGGCGAATAATTGTTAAATGTTCACTTTGCGTAGCTGTAATTTCTGGCAATGGATTTATTTTTTTGTTATTTAGTAACACAATAGTTCGAACAATCCAAGCGGGGCCGTTTTGACCAAGCACCAAGGTGAAATGTTCCTTCGCGAGCGACGATAATTCCATTCAAGATTAGTGGTGAGAATTACGGTTTGAATTTAAAGTTTTAAGAATGTTTATGGATAACCAGAGAAAGAATAGCTCGAAGATGTATTGATGCAGCCACAAGAGAAATAATAAGCATTCAGATTGGCTTCGTTTGTCATTAAGGATGGCGGATCGAGCGCTGTCTTGGCCAAACCAAACGAAGACATGGCAGGAACTGGAGGTGGTGTAGACAGCGCTGTTGGGTGATAGGGATTGAAATGCATACCGTTGTAGCCTCGGAACTCCACTTCGTGGTCCGCTATGATATTTTTGATCGCAAATGGATGATTGAAGTCAGGTCGCATGAACACATCGTAGTGCGTCGGAGCAAGAAAGGATGGAGTTGTGAAGGTTTTACCGCCTTGTACTTTAGGAACGCCAGGCACATAACCTCCGGGTTTCACAAGATGACTCAGGTCTGGTTTCTTGTCTTCTTTGAAGGACTGACTAAAGTTTTGTTTGTCGTCTTCTTTAAAGAACTGACTCAAGTTTGGTTTGTCGTCTTCTTTGAAGAACTGACTCAGGTTTGGTTTGTCGTCTTCTTTGAAGAACTGACTCAGGTTTGGTTTGTCGTCTTCTTTGAAGAACTGACTCAGGTTTGGTTTGTCGTCTTCTTTGAAGAACTGACTCAGGTTTGGTTTTCTGTCTTCTTTGAAGAACTGACACGGGTTTGATTCTTGGTCTTCTTTGAAGGACTGACTCAGGTTTAGATTTTTGTCTTCCCTGAAGGGCATCACCGGTCGTATACAACAATCATGATTCTCAAACCGCATATTTTCACAGCCAGGATTCAAAGTCCAGTAGCAATCTTTGTAATTTTTAGGTCGATGAGTACGGTAGACTGGCAAAAAACATTCATTCAACGACAAATTGTGGCGTATGCTGTTGGATGCGTAGAAGTAGTGCGGGAATGAATCCATAATAAATTGATATATTTCGCTAAACATCAGCATTTTGTTGGGGCTCTGTTGAATGGCCATAGCGATTAACCTTTTACACGGAGGCTTCGGGTCTCTAAAATTTCGTGGAGAGGTTAACAATTTCTCCTTTTTCTTTACTTGAAATTCTGTGACAACAAGATCCTGAGCTAATACTTGGTCCGTCATTTTGTACAAGTGTATTTACTGAACGATCTACGCTAGCTCTGTGAGCTTTCAATGTTTAGCGCAGTCTGGCGTCAGTGCGTCTACTTGCTTCGTAACCTGATACTGAATCGTTCATTCTCGTCCCCAGAGCCATTTTCACTCGGTCACTCGTTGAAAATTAGGCTCTGGGTTAGACGACTAAAGGGAGAGATCTGATTGGCTTCTCAGAGAACTGCTATCTCGCAGAAGTTGAGCAATTTTCGCCAGGAAACACAACACATTTCTTCACAATACTTGTCTGTGAAAATTGTTACGGGTGCTGAAGCATCCCAATTCAAGACCATGCACTTTAGAAACTACTGCAAGTTTTCTTGCACTTCCGGTTCCGTATGTCCCAGGGCCTTGGGCCTATGAAGGGCCTATGAAGGGCGCAAGCGGCTGTGAGGCCCTGGGGACAAGGATGGGGCCAGTTTGAGCAAGAATATGCAACCTCGTTGTCAGGTTCTTTCCTCTTGGGAATAAGATTGTAATAATAACAATAATAATATAATAACATATGCAGTTTTTGGAAACAGGATTAACACATAGAAGAACTTTGATTTACTTTTTCTAACAGATGATACTTGAAGTATTATGCTGAATTTGGGAAGAATAACAGTTTTAGAAAAACAGATTTTATATAGTTAATATATAATTATTAAAAGATAGATACACAGTTTTGGACAGCATTAGGACATAAAGAGAGTAATATAGTTTATTGAGTAACAAGATGTTCTTTTGAACATTGTATTAGGAATATCAACATAATTTCGTGCAAGTTTGGAAAGAGAGATACAGTATGCAATTCCACATTTCCACCACAGAGAAATTGGAAATTAATCCCCCTACCACTTCTGACATTCTGTCCACAAGTACACTTTCCCACTTTCCTACAGGAAGTGTGGATCTTTTCTAGAATATGACACATTGTCAGCCGTCAATTAGACCTGTTGATATTCGTGCTTATATCAGAGCCTGAAATAACGGCCGGTGGTTTTCCGACCAAATTCCGATTTTTCCGACCAAATGCTGAAATGATCGGAAATTTTGTCCGGCCAAATTTTGAGAAAAAGAAAAATGTTTTCTTAATGATCGGGTCGGCGCTCAGCACAGTGAGTACCATCTGTAAGTTTGGATTATCTATATTAGGCGGCTAATATAAAGTAATCAACTGGAAAGTATAGTTCACGGGCAGCCTAGTCCCTGGCCTTCCAAACGCGGGCGAGTTACAGGCTGTTGTGAACTTGCGGGCTGTGAGTTTCCCCAGTCTCCAAATAATACAGCTTTATCACGGTCAACCTGCAAACCTTATCAATTTCCCCCTAACATAATGAGGCGGAAGCGAGAAGGCCAGGAACTAGGCTGGTTCACAGGCTCAATAAACAAGAAGGTGGCTTACAGCGTGGTGTTGTCGTGAAAATGTGAGGTGAGTCTTAATAATTTGCAATTTAAATCACCCGTCAATCAATTTAAAACACCCGTCAATCAATTTAAAACACCCGTCGGCTCACGACCATTTTGAATTTTCGCTACCTTACACAATTGCAAGTCGAGTGATTTACTCAGTGCACGTCTGCATGCTTGACAGAGTTTGCTCATTGGGGGGGGGGGAGTGGACTTTGTCAAACTAAACTAAAAAAAATTCCGGTCAATTTTGCAAATTTCCGGTCAAATTTCGTTTTGATCGGAAGTTTTTCTGGACAAATTTTAAAATTATTTCAGGCTCTGTGTATGAATGATCACATTTTTTTATTGCACAAGCTGTTAGGCATAACAGGTATGGTATAATTTATTATATAAGAGAATAACCTAAATCTGATCGGTTGCACGGAAAAATTATGCCTGCCGATTTTTCATCTTCATATTTGGCAGAAATAGACCCCAGAATTATTCCCGGTATTAGACAGAGTAAAATAATAAAGTAGGGTGAATCAGGGCAAAATGCAACTCAATGGGTTAACTACAGTAGACACATGGGCAAGATAGGCCAGTTAACCCATTAAGTTGCACTTAATGGGTTAACTGGCCTATCTGCCCATGTGTCTAGTTAACCCATTGACACATGGGCAGATAGGCCAGTTAACCCATTAAGCACCAGCACTCTCCCCTTGACAAGTAAAATCGTCTGGCGTTAGATAGAGTAAATAATAAAGTAGGGTGCAATGCAACTCAATGGGTTCAATTCCAATACATTTGACTGGAATTTTCTTTGCTGTGAAAACATTTTCTTTGCAGTGAAAACATATATATATATGTATATATATATGTATATATATATATATGTATATATATATATATATATATATATATATATATATATATATATATATATACATATATATATATATATATACCAAATTTAAATTTCCCGCCCAGACTGTGAAAGAATTCAATGATAAACATTATTTCTTGATAACTCTGTGTTTAAATCTCAAAACGAATATATCATACAGTAAAGATACAATCTATATTGCACAAAAGCTTTACACAAGTATAAAATATAATACACAACTCTTTTAAATTGTGCAGAATTGTTGAATATTTGAAGCACGTGTATTCAAAAGTACTTTCTCATTCTGACAAGCAAGTGAAAATATCAGTTACAAACGCACCTTTCGCAAAGAAATTCTTTCCAGAACTGCAGAATTATATCCCCTCTATTTGTAACAGTCTCTTCGCCAAATTTCAACTCTCAAAAGTGTATTTTTGCACAGTTTTTGCAAACAAGTGAAGACACTGCCATATTGTTTTGAATTTTTGACTGACCTATTATTGACCTTCGGAAAGCCTTCGGCGACACGATCATTGACATCGAGCATTCCCCGAAACTTTCCGACGACGTGTCCCTTTAAATTGCTGTTTACAACTTTACAAGGACATATATTGTCGAATTTAAAGCATATTTTTGAAGGTGTCAAGTATTTTTTTTGTTAACTCTGCGAAGAACAGATGGCAAGCCATGGAAACGTTCTGATCATTAACAGTGATGCACAATTTAAGTCTGAATTTGAGAAAAATTCAAATAAATTGGTGATAGTAGATTTCACCGCCTCATGGCAAGTTTTAGAATGTTTTAATCCATACTTTAAATATATATTAATTAAAGGCTTATTTCTTCTAGTTTTATCTAGGTACAAGCAGTTATCTAAAATTACAAACAGATACGCCTGTCTAACAGTCATGTTCAAGGCATACCAGACTTGGGCAGCGAAGGATGGAGTCCGGGGGGGGCATGATGCACCTGCTACCCCAAAACCGGGAGTGTGCACCCTAGCATAAATTGCAGTTGAACTATAACATCTAGCTTACACTGGACAAATTTGAATATGCATATCAGAGTATTGAACTGTTCAATCATTTGAGATATCTAATTCAATGTTGGAGTACCATATGTCCAGCATCGATCATGCTACAAGTATAAAACCTTGGTTAATGTTTTGACAGTTTCCTGAGCTACATGGCCAAAGAGCTATAGCCAGGATTGTGGCTATATTAAAGTGAAATGTGGATTGTTGTTTTTAACTGCATATGTGAACGATTATATTTGCACTTTTGAACCTGGATATCAATCAAGAAATTACGATAAAAACAACTTATAATGGGCCATTCCATTTAATATACCCCCCCCCCCCATGGACGAGAATTGCTGAGGGGGTTTGAAAAAGCCGTTTCCTTACAAATGTCGACATCCACATCCATCCGCCTTTGACCTTTGTGTTTTTTTTCTGAGCGGTAAGGCAAAAATTTCTTAATTCCTGGAGGTGTTTGTGTCGGCACTTTGATCTTTTTTTCTTAGGGGTTCAAATTTTATTGACCTCGTCCATAGGGGTGTGTGTATATTAAATGGAATGGCCCAATTGAACACAAGCAGGACTATTTTAGAAGTTCATTTTTCATTAGATCAGTTGAACTTTGGAATGCTCTAACCTTATCATGTCAGATCCTCCACTTCATTTGCTGTATTTCACTAAGTCATCACAGTGACACTATGTGCCTCTGGGCCTTTATATCTGTCTACATCTACCTACACATCTGTTAACATTATTTCTCAAAAGGTGTGGTCCATGTAAAAGAATTGCACCAGTATTTGAACAGTTGAGCAACCAGTTTACAGCAGCTGCATTTCTTAAAGTGGATGTCGACATTTGCAAGGTAACAAAAATTTGATATATGTAATTGCATCAGCATGTGTGCTAGTGTTATTCAGCTTGGCAGCTAATTAACCATCAATTAACCACATCATAAACTTTCCCACAGGTGACGGCAGCCAGCCATGGTATCCGAGCAATGCCGACATTCCTCTTCTTTATTCATGGTCAAAAAGTCGACGAAATGAAAGGTGCAGATCCGGCAAGTTTGCAGCAAAAGATACAACAATGGGCTCTTCAGAGTAACCAATCTGTAAGTAATTGGGTTATTCATTCAACATCCAGATCATCCTTACAGACAAAATCAGATGTCCTATCACATTTTACTATTACCAGAAGTCAATTTTCCTCCCCCCCCCTCAGGACAGCAGAAATTTCCTCTGTGAGGGAAGTGTGGATCGTTTCTGGAACAACCCATTATTGGGTCATTTCACAAAACATCCATAATAAATTCCCCCATTTTGAAGAGGAAATTGGGAAGTTGACCCACCTACCCCCTTCGGACGTCCTGAACACTCATTACAGTATTGTCTTTATTTTAAGTCTGTAGACTCGGCAAAAGTTGCGACCGGCCGTCAATTGGATTGTTTCCGTGAACTACTAGAAAACCCTCCAGACACCTTCGACAGCACATCCCAGTTGTTGTTGAGAATTGCCACCAACATTATACAGGAACCCAACGAACCAAAATACAGGACATTAAAACTGAGTACAAATACGTTTCAAAATAAACTTCTGCCTGTTAAAGGTGCTGTGGAATGCCTGTTTGCAATGGGGTTTGAAGATGTAAGTACTGGCCAGAATGAATATATTTTGAACATAACCATCATAATGCTTCCGACCTGGGTGTTGTGATGCGAGAAAATGTCTTATAAATGAAACTTCGAAAATCTTTAACAATCATCATCTTGTATATATCATTATTTAGAAAGACGATGAAGTTATATTACAAGCGGATAAATCGTTAGATGACTTGAAGATGATTCGAGATACAATTTTAGATGAACGCAATAAACGAGAAGTGTTACTTAAAACAATGCAGAAAACCTAAAGAATTATTGAATTATTTATATTTATACAATTTATTGAATTGAGTGTTATGATTTTCGCTATAAAATACATATTTCACTTGTTTATACCAGAAGTTATTAATATATACCGCAAAATGCGAAAATATTTGTATTTTGATATCACATTGTCGCAATAGTTTTGCATATTGTTTCAAATTCAATATAATTCAATTTACTAAAATTTATTATTTTAACATGACAAATAACAAATAGATGTTTGTGATGTTACCCCGAGTGTATATCCACACCGGGCAGGCTTGAAAAATATGCCTGGCCACGGTGGGAATTGAACCTATGACCTTTCGAATACTAGCCCAATGCTCTGCCAACTGAGCTACGCGGTCAGGTCAGTTGATACTTCGGAACTGACACTCGTAGTAACATCACAAACATATTCACCTGAGTATACATAACACCAACACAGAAAAATCACAAATACATCTTATCATTTACATATATCCTTATTCTATTCCACTAATATTATCAGAACAGTGAATCTACTATTTCTCAGACTCAGCCAGAGCCTAAAAGCAAAATTTTCTGGGGCACCATGGCTGGACAGACGATTGGAACCCAATACTACCTTCTTCATTTTATTCTTTCGGCTTCAACTTCAGCATAATATCTAGAGCACAGTGATTCTTCCGGCCGTCCATCGGTTGACGAAAGATTTGCGAATGTTGCCAGCAATGCTCTTGGTCGTTTTTCTCACATTGCAAATACGCTGTGAGCTTTATCACTGGGTGACCACTTGTCTTCAATGTCGTCTCTGTGACAAGAAAAATTAAAAGTTGCCACACAAAATCTCGTATTTAATACCATTCAAGCGAAGGTGTAAAAGTAAGTTTGACTGACCTCCGTCTAAAATCTTGGTGATTCCTCCTTCTTTGTCTTCTTTCAACTCCATCTTGACCTGGCCATCTTGAAATGTTGTAAAGGCAGCCCGCACAGTCACTTCATCAATCTCACGTCCAGAATCTCCGACATCGATGGCCCAGGTTATTGTGCCCGACTCAGTGCCTTCATCGCGAGCGAGATAAGTCTTCGAAAACATTAAGACAAAATGCAATTTTAGTTGTTATTGGTAGATAATTTTTAAGCTCTGGTCAAATGAGGTGATGTGATGAGAGTTGAGAAGCGAGGGTTTGCATGAGAGTTTTCAACTTCATGAGAGTTGACTGGATATTACCGCGCGCATGGCGAAAACTCTCATCAGAATATGAACTTTTCATTTCAGAATTTGAAAGAAGGTATAGTATTGGGGTAGAATTTGAACTTTTCATTTCAGAATGAAACTTTTCATTTCAGAATGAAACTTTTCACATCAGAACTTGAACTTTTCATTTCAGAATGAAACTCCCATCAGAATTTGAACTTTTCATTTCAGAATGAAACCCATCAGAATTTGAACTTTTCATTTCAGAATGAAACTCATCAGAATTTGAACTTTTCATTTCAGAATGAAACTCTCATCAGAATTTGAACTTTTCATTTCAGAATTTGAAAGAAGGTAGTATTGGGGTAGAATTTGAACTTTTCAATTCAGAATGAAACTTTTCATTTCAGAATGAAACTTTTCACATCAGAATTTGAACTTTTCATTTCAGAATGAAACTCTCATCAGAATTTGAACTTTTCATTTCAGAATGAAACTCATCAGAATTTGAACTTTTCATTTCAGAATGAAACTCATCAGAATTTGAACTTTTCATTTCAGAATGAAACTCTCATCAGAATTTGAACTTTTCATTTCAGAATTTGAAAGAAGGTAGTATTGGGGTAGAATTTGAACTTTTCAATTCAGAATGAAACTTTTCATTTCAGAATGAAACTTTTCACATCAGAATTTGAACTTTTCATTTCAGAATGAAACTCTCATCAGAATTTGAACTTTTCATTTCAGAATTTCAAAGAAGGTAGTATTGGGGGGGGGGGGGTCCAATCGTCTGTCCAGCCATGGGCATGGTCCCCCCAAAATTTTGTTTTTAGGGTCTGACTGAGTCTGAGAAACAGTAGATCCAAACAGTAGATTCAACATTTCAGAATTTGAAATTTCAAAGTTGAGAGTTATTTTACAATCCATGATGAGACTTAGAGGTCAAACACGGAGAGTTGCAACTCCTATCAAATGCTAGCCTAAAATTGACCAAACCTGCCAAAACCAGCTGAGCAAAGGTCATAGATAGGTCTAGGTAGAGCCTTACCATCTTCCAATCAAGTTCTTCTTTTCTGAACATCGACGTCATGGACTCGACACCATTTCGCCAACCTTTTACGTCATCATTCCCAGGAATGACGTCATCTTCAAGTCCTCGGTAATATTCATCCGCAACACAGGAATATCGCACACGCATTCTGAAACGAAAATTTTAAATTTTAACGCCTCACGACAATCTCACAAAATAGTTAGAAAATAGTTAACAATTATTCGCCGAAGGCGAGGTGATTATCGGGGAATATTCAGTGAGACGATGTTGAGGTGAAAATCCCCGATAATCACCGAGCCTGAGGCGAATAATTGTTTTAGTATTTTTACACAAGTCTTTTGTGTTTTTATTTTTGACTGAATTTATTTTAATTTCACGCTTATTTCTTTATCAGTATAACTTCCACAAAACGGCTAGCCGCCATTTTGCAAATTTCGGTTTTGATATATTCACCAATCAACTTGACCAATCAACTTGTAGGATTTGTTATATTCACTTGTGCAAAAATACTAAAATGTGATGTTATTCAAATCTTTATTGAGTCTATTCAGCGCACTGGCATCGGGACCAGAGGGGCTGGGGGGGGGGGCCCTAAAGTTTTGCACAGGGGGGGCATCTTAATGTAGAACACAATTTAGCCTTAAATTCCGGACATATGCACATCAAATAAACTGAAATATCTCATCAATAATTCATAAAGAAAACACAAAAGAAATCAAGAGCTTGTGTATCTGATACAGAATCATGCTGATTTACATAAAGTTTAAGTTCAATTTTCTCACCAAATGTCATTAATTTATTTTACTAAATTGTTGAAGAATATACGAATGTTCTCATCAAGACGTTTCACAAACCATTTACAACCTTCCCGTCCGTGTTGTATCGGATGTAACACGACTGCTCATGTTGTAACTTGTAAATAGTACATATTCTTTCAAATGTTCTTGAGAATAAGGTCAATAAGATGATACAAAATTGAGGTTAGGTGCAATTTAATAGTCACTGCACACATGGCAGTTGCCGAGATCATAGATTAAAATAATTGAATCTGAACTCACACTGGGCTCACAATGACAATATATAGCGCGACATAACAAGCCTGATTGAATTAGCTTCTGAGTAGGAAATCCAATCAAATATATGGAATGTGGGTGGTTTAATTTGAAGACATATATGAAAAAAAATTATCAAGCTCCTTGGGAAGCCAGATTGTGGCTAAATGTACTTTGAATATGTGCCAGAATAATAATTATTTAGAGTTTTCCGTCACGAATTACGTAGTGAAGAATTGATATTTACCAAAAAAATTATAGTTGCCTTAATAAAGTTCAATTTCTAGTCCGAAATTATTGCACTATGAGTATTATTGCTTGCATAAAAATAGCCTGCGATAAAAACCAACTGATTTAGACTACACAACTTTTGCCTAAAACTGTCGCATGCAACCTGCTTACAACTTGAGTCATACTGTGTAAATCAAGCACACAATTCACATACGAAAGCGCAGGTGAGTTGTGTACTTGATTTACACAGTACAACTCAAGTTGTAAGCAAGTTCAAGTTCGTTCCAATAACCTGATATCAGTATGGCTTGTTACCAGCTTGTTGAAAAGTTGTCACAAGGTTGATGAATCGACAGGCTTGTTACAAGGTTGTTTCAACAAACTGATGCTTGTCGACAACTTGTCACAAGCCCGCAACAGACTTGCTACAAGTTTAATCCAATAAGTCCATATCAAGTTATGTTAGCATTCATTGTTCACAATTTGACACACGTAAAAATCTCATAAATTGTCAACAAGATGTGTTCGCAACAGGCTTGTAGCATGCTTGTCAACAAGTTGTAACAATGTTGTTGTTTTATCAAGTTGTTACAAGGTTGTCAGCAACAACTTGTCAACAAGTTGTTCAATTGCAAAACGATAACAACTTGTAACAAGTCTGTTGAGTTAACGACCTTTTAGCAATTTTTCAACAAGCCATTGATAACTTGTCAACAAGCTGGGAACAAGCAGTGCGGAGACATCCTGATGACAAATAGTTGTAACAGCATTGGTACAAGTCTGTTACAAGTTTGTTACAACACGTTGCGCGTTTTTACGTGTGTAAATTGGTGACTCAACGGACTTGCGACAAGTTGTTCTAACACGCTGATATTAAGTTGTATTTGCACAGCCTGACCGTTTAAGTGTTTTGCCTGCGATTAGGTGGCAATCATTCCGTTACTTCCTTAAATCTACAGGGTTTCCATCGAATCACTGAATTATCCAAAGCAAGATTATATACGTGTATCCTATTATAATTCCATGAAATATTAAGGGCTGTTGAGGGGACATGAATAAATGAACGACATATGTGAGATAGAGTAATACAACATAATCTTAATGCACTATTTTTTTGAAGTCAAAATATTTCTCCTCTCAAAGCCACAGAGTCTGACTGCAATATTTGCGTGCAATCTCGTTCACATCTGGCCTTCAGAAGATAACGGTAGACTTAATGACATATCTACACATTAAGAAAGATAACAGCAACAATCAATTATTAAATAATTGGAAAATACGGCGTATAAAAGGAGAGAATGGGAAGAGAAGACACCACACAAAAAGGCTGCGGTTTACAGTTGTCTAAACTCGAGAAGAAACGCAGCCCGCCGCAAGAAAGCCAATGATCATGAAGACGATACAAGGACTTGGAATTGTTCTTTTGCTTTCCAGCCAGTTTTGGTTTTTGATAAAAGGAGACTTCGAGATGAAGAATGACGACTACACAAGGTAGCTGTGAAATATTGTTTAGCAACGTTCATAAGTTATGCAAATAAAAGGAAATTGAAAAGATATTTGTGCTTTCAACACATTAGATTGAGAGATTCCATTTTTAAAATACCAAAGTAAGGGGTCTAGTGTATGTTTGCATTTGTGTGTTTGGGTATAAGAAGTTAAAAATACAATTAAAATGACGTTTCGAGCGAAGGCCCTTCAAACGAAGATTATAACCGCACTTTATCGCGCAAGTTTTCTTTAAAAGTAGTTTTTTCAATTCGAGTAGAGCCCCAGTCAAAAGAGTTGATGGGAGTTGGCAGTTTTCATTTGATCCGGGTTTAATCCATAAACGGTCCCAAGCAAACCTGCACTTAACTCTGCCAAAATATACATGCCGAGGGAAAACTTGTCAATTTTTTGCCCCACACAAAAGCGAGTACACTTGTCAAGCTGTTTGCTTTGCCGAAACCATGAGTCTCAAGTCTTGAGTAGGTTTAAGGTGATGGCTAAAAGCGATGGAGGATAGAGGGAGGTTTTCAAAATAGCTCAAAACTCAGAATTTGTTTTAGTTTAGGGTTAATGCTAGGGTTAGGATTGGGGTTAGGTTTAGGATAAAGTTTGGGATTGTTCTGAGTGTCTGGTTGTTGATTCTTTCGCGTTTTAATGATCTTTAAAACAAGCCGCCATGTTCAAAACCTTCGCTAGCAAATGTTCAAAAAAAGAATCTAAGACCACATAATTTTACTCTTCATTTTTAATTCAATATGTCCACACGATTCACCGCAATAATCTAAACTAGACACTGTTTTACGTCATCGGAGCAATTTTGTTTAAAAAGTTATTAAAAACGCAATTTTAGAAAATTGAACTAAATGAACCACACATTTTTAACCTTAAAATCTAATTTGACTAAAGCGATCACTGCAATAATTAAGACTGACTTTTATTTTTTTTGTTTAGAAGTGAAAACGATAAGAGAACCATTGATCTGGCTGGTATTGAAATACCACGAGGAGGAAAGAGAACCGTCATTGATCTGGTTGGTATTGAATCCCCAAGAGGCGGTAAGAGAACCATTGATCTGGCTGGTATTGAATCACCAAGAGGCGGAAAAAGAACCATGATTGATCTGGCTGGTGTTGAAATACCACGAGGAGGAAAGAGAACCATTGATCTGGCTGGTATTGAATCACCACGAGGAGGAAAGAGAACCATTGATCTGGCTGGTATTGAATCACCAAGAGGAGGAAAGAGAAACATTGATCTGGCTGGTATTGAATCACCAAGAGGCGGCAAGAGAACCATTCATTTGGCTGGTATTGAATCACCAAGAGGTGGAAAGAGAACCATTGATCTGGCTGGTATTGAATCACCAAGAGGCGGAAAGAGAACCATTGATCTGGCTGGTATTGAATCACCACGAGGTGGAAAGAGAACCATTGAACTGGCTGGTATTGAATCACCAAGAGGTGGAAAGAGAACCATTGATCTGGCTGGTATTGAATCACCAAGAGGTGGAAAGAGAACCATTGAACTGGCTGGTATTGAATCACCAAGAGGTGGAAAGAGAACCATTGATCTGGCTGGTATTGAATCACCAAGAGGTGGAAAGAGAACCATTGAACTGGCTGGTATTGAATCACCAAGAGGTGGAAAGAGAACCATTGATCTGGCTGGTATTGAATCACCAAGAGGTGGAAAGAGAACCATTGAACTGGCTGGTATTGAATCACCAAGAGGTGGAAAGAGAACCATTGATCTGGCTGGTATTGAATCACCAAGAGGTGGAAAGAGAACCATTGAACTGGCTGGTATTGAATCACCAAGAGGTGGAAAGAGAACCATTGATCTGGCTGGTATTGAATCACCAAGAGGTGGAAAGAGAACCATTGAACTGGCTGGTATTGAATCACCAAGAGGTGGAAAGAGAACCATTGATCTGGCTGGTATTGAATCACCAAGAGGTGGAAAGAGAACCATTGAACTGGCTGGTATTGAATCACCAAGAGGTGGAAAGAGAACCATTGATCTGGTTGGTATTGAATCACCAAGAGGCGGAAAGAGAACCATCATTAATCTGGCTGGTATCGAATCACCAAGAGGTGGAAAGAGAACCATTGATCTGGCTGGTATTGAATCACCACGAGGAGGAAAGAGAACCATTGATCTGGCTGGTATTGAATCACCAAGAGGTGGAAAGTGACTACTTGATATTTGAATTGGCATTAATATTTTATTGGATCATTATTGAAATTAAGGGAAATCTAGAGTCCCTAAAAATATAGACGTTAATATAAAATGAGTTAATACAAAAAGAAGAATGAAACGACAAATGAAAATTAGTGTAATTATAACTATAGCTGCTGAACTCATATATTAAGAGTATTAAGTAAATTGAATCATGTGAATTATGAATATAAACTAAAAAACTTAAACAATTCAGTGACTCATAAGTAATCATAGCATTGCAGTCTGACTTCAGCATGGTTGTTTGGAAGAGTAATTTTATGCAAGTACAAAATTATATGATATATACCACATAGGCATAAGTAATATTCAATGAGATACATCATACAATTTACAAAGTTACTTTAGGATTTTACTAGACTGTTTAATATCATCAGATGATTTTACTCAATTTCCAGCAAAACAATCTTGAGCCTTAAAGCCCATTTTCCACTAGGCAAATTTGTTTGTGGGAAACAAAAAAAATCTTCAGTTGGCAATGTGATTCATGGTCAGTAAGGAATTCGCTGTGAAATATAGATGCTGTACATTCTCAATTTTTTAATTTGCAGTGTCGAAGGTAGAAATGCTTTTGCTTACCGTCCAGCTTGAACATCTTTTTCATTTGGCTTGAAGACATAACCAGGTTGTACCTGCAAAATACAGGTGTGTATATAATGCTTGTGATGTTACTCTGAGTGAATTTCCACACCGGGCAAGCTTGAAAAATATGCCTGACCACGGTGGGACACAGAAAAAATCAGGTGTGTATATAGTTATAAGTGGGGTTACTGTTTCCCCACGCCCAGGTTTTTTTTCAGGATTTTCTCTTGGATCCGTTTTTGCAGAGAAGATTGAGTTTAGCTGAACAGCTGGGGTGGCTGCACCCCCCCCCCCCCCCCCCCCCGGGGCTGACACCTGTACTCAATAAATGTTAGTTGAGATGGAATGTGTTAAAGCAGGGGCACTAAGGGACACTATAAACTGGTTAAAGATGGCGAATGCATAGTTTTTCTTGTGTTGCGAGATGAATTCCAGCCATTTTTTCTTAATTGTCGGGTTTCCAACTGAAAACTAATTTCCACACGTCAAGAATTTAACTCAAACAACTTCATTTTTACTGCACTGAAACTTTGGTGAGAAGATTGAGTTTCAAAACTCAATTCAAGATGGAGTTTTTGGGGCCGTTTAACGGCCCTAAAAAATCCCTGAAAAAAACCCTGCACGCCCAAAGTTTCTTCCCCTATCCAGGAACAGTCTGCAGAAAAAAGGATAGCTAAAGAATGATACCCTTTGACCAGTGGTGAGACTTAATCCATGATTTTTTAGCTTATTTTATTTTCCTTCCTTCTTTCTCTCTCTACCCTTTCCCTTCCTTCGCCTTTTCTTCAGCCACCCCCTAAACCCCTGACCCCACCCCCCATGACGGGAGCACAGAACTCTACAGATTAATTGTCTTCACTACCTGCCAAGTATCACAGTCATTACAAATAAATACCATGGTTTGTGCCTGAAAACTTTGATGTTTTTAACATTTTCAAACTACACCATACCTCCTTGGGTTGCCCCAGTTCTCCTCTGGCCCTGCGCCATTCCACACCACCAGAAGTGCGACCTTGTTTCTCTTCTTCCATAATCTCTTTCTGTACACTCAGAAAGCTCACTAATTCTTTCATGTTTTGTTCCTCAGCAATCTTTCTTTCGTCACTTGGTAATTGGTCTAAAAACTGAAGTTTAACCCATTGAGTGGCAAGCACTCTCCCCGTGATGAGTAATATCATCTGGCATTAGACAGAGTAAAATAATAAAGTAGCGCACATCAGGGTACATTGCCACTTAATTTAAAAGGTGAAAGGAAAAACATTTAACACCTTGTGTAATCTATAGCATATGCAGTGCAATGATCCAGTGTAATTACTACAGGAGTCTGTCAGTTCTAAACTGTTCTCCCTAGAGGTTAAAAAAGGCATTTGTTTTTGGTCTAGAGTTATCTATGTTCTAGTATAGTCCTTACTACAGGACAGAAATACCCAAATAAATCCAGCAGTGTTTCACCCTAATCAGCACTATCTATTATTTTACACTGTCTAACACCAGACAAAATTACTTGTCAAGGGTGAAGTGCCTATTAGACATATAATAAATACATGGCCGCTGTAATTCCATACCTTTTTGTTAAAAGTGTTGATCGTCATGACCAGCCAGTTTTCTCGGCAATCTTTGCGACGTTGCAGGACTTCTTGATGTTTGTTTGAATATCTCCATGTGACATCCATTATCTGCAATGTCACATCATAATAGTCAATGATGTTATATGAAATTTGATTGGCATGACTTGCATTGCATTGCTAAAAATATTTTCCTATTCTTTACCTGGTCCTTAGCAAAAGCAATACAATAAGTAAGTTTTTTGCCCCAGCCTGCTTCGTACAGCAATGGTCGATCACAGACATCTTCACATGGATCACAATGTAGCCATCTTTGTTGGGCTTCAGAGAAGACCTCAGTCCAAACGTGGTCGGTCCAATCCAAAACATAACGTGTTTTAAAGCCCAATGCAACACAACACATTGTGAAAGCATTTGCCCATTCACCACAGCGACCATGTCTTGTTTCTGCAATATGCAAGTTAAGGTACTATATACTTAACTCTTTAAGTGGCAATGCACCCAGATGCACTCTACTTTATTATTTTACTCTGTCTAACACCAGACGATATAACTCATCAGGGGAAAGTGCTGCCATCAATGTAACCCATTGATTAACCATCAGACTATCTGCCCATGTCCAGATGCACTGTACATAATTATTTTACTCCAGATGTCTAACGCCAGACAATTTTACTTGTCAGGGGAAGAGTGCTGCCACTCAATGGGTTAATAATGATTATGTTCAAATGTGCCACACCAAGGGGGGGGGGGGCAAGATTTTCTAGGGAAGGGGTGTAACTTTGTTTCTCCACATCCGTGAAATTTAAGGCAAAAAAGTTTAGAGTGATGAGTACAAACAAACTCTGTACTGTACCAAGCAGTTTCTGTGGATGGTTGTAACGTGGGAATCTCATAATTTTCTTGCACTTTGGACATTGATAGAGTTCGACACGACCACCTCCCCATCTCTGTTCCTCCGCCGTAGGAGTGCCCGAACCAATTGTGGTGCCTTTTTCTTGACAAACATCACAATCTAACGATCTTGTAAAGCCACGAAAAAATTCACCTGAAACCAGTAAAAGTTAATCCATTTGGTTGCATTATATATGCCCGATCCACCCTACTTTCTTATTTTATTCTGTCTAATGCCAGGCGATTTTACTCGTCATGGGTTATACGTGTCTGACATTAGTTAAAGCCCACATTCTAATCTAAATCCTAACCATAATCTAAATCCTAACCATAATCTAAATCTTAACCATAATCTCAATCTAAATCCTAACCATAATCTAAATCTAACCATAACCTCAATCTAGATCCTAACCATAATCTAAATCCTAACCATAATCTAAATCTAAACCATAATCTAAATCTAAATCCTAACCATAATCTAAATCCTAACCATAATCTAAATCTAAATCCTAACCATAATCTCAATCTAAATCCTAACCATAATCTAAATCTTAACTAACCATAATCTAAATCTTAACCATAGTCTCAATCTAAATCCTAACCATAATCTAAATCTTAACCATAATCTCAATCTATATCCTAACCATTTATAATCTAAATCTTAACCATAACCTCAATCTAGATCCTAACACTAATCCCAATCCAATTCCTAACACTAAATCCAAATCATAAAACTATTCCTAACACTAACACTATTCCTAACACTAATCCTAATCCAAATCCTAAATCACTAAATCTAATCCCAACATGAGCTTACATTTAAACCATTTTAAGAGGGCCAACACAAGACAATCTTGTGAGGACATATCTTCATTTGCATCTAATTTTCCTCGCCTAATTTCCTCTGCTCTTGTTTGCAGTTCCATTACTGGGATGTGAGAAAGATACAAGTCCTGCAAGTGCGGATCTTCGTACATTAAAACTTGGTCATAAGATGAAAGTAGTTTCATATAAAATTGGGCTTCTTTCCTCTCCATATTTATACAAGCAATTCACACTCTGCAATTAAAACAAGTGAAGAATAATATAAAGTAAATCTTGCTATTAAAATTGCTATCACTGTCCTATGCCTTATGCAAAGTTTAGTTAGTTTTAATATTAAAACTCACATTATGTTTTTTTCGTGTTCAAAACGCCATATTGCCTAAATGCCATTCATCATATTTCTTGTAACATGACGTACTTATGACAATGTAGCCTGCATGGCAGGCGGTATTTCTACGGGCAGCGAAAATTAGGTATTTCCTACGTACCGCCTGCCATGCAGGCTAATGACAATGTAACATGACGTTCTTCGTGTTTCCATGTTGTCTTGCTTGCTTTTCAAAATGTTTTCTTGATATTATATTAAATAGTCATGAATACACTTAGGGGCCATTCACAAAGGATGTCCGAGCCGAGGGGGGGAGGGGGGTTTGGAAAATCAGGACAAACTCGGACATAGGGGGGGAGAGGGGGTTTTTAGCAATCCGGATGTCCGAAATTTAAAAAAATTCAAAAACAAATTTCTTTTTCCCTCTATTTTGAGCAGTCCTTCCCATTGTGAAATTGGCATTTTGACTATGCGGTTAACACTAGATTTTGTTTTAATTAGTAATTTATATGTTTTTGTGTTCACATTTACAGTTATAAAAAAGTTCTAAAAGTAAAAAAGTTTTTTACTCTTGATATATACAAGGTTGCGTGAGTTTTTGCGAGGCATGGCGGATGTCCGGGGGGAGGGGGGGTCACTAATTCGGACAATGCCGGACAAGGGGGGGGGGGGAGTCTGAAAATCCATCATTTGGCCGGACATCCTTTGTGAATGGCCAAATCCTTCAAAACGTAGAATTTATCAATACAAAATTCCTACTGTGATCACAGAAACTTTGCTAGTGTAAACCAGATTTTACAGTACGAACTGTCCAGGGGCCGGTTATTCAAAGGTGGGTTAGCGCTAACCCTGGGTTAAAATTTAACCCGCTGTTTTAGTTTATGTATTTCTGCACGTCTGTTTATTTCAAAACTTCAGAAAAGTAAACTCCTATCGATCCTGACAAGATCTCTGAAGAAATATTTCCAAATTTATAGACAAGCTGTCAGAAAGTTTGCTTTGAATTTGACGTTAACCTAGGGTTAAGCTAACCCAGCTTTGAACAGCTGGACCCCAGAACTTTAAAGTCGGTCTACTGAGGTTTATCGCCATGTATCGAGAACTTAGTTAAAACCAACAATAAAGTTGCTCTCTGTTTTGCATATCAGATTGAACGACAAGAAGTTGAGCGAAGATATCGAGCAGAAATTTTGGAGCGATGAAGAAAGATACGTGGAGGAAATTCGTGCCATTGAACTGTCCCGAGAGAAGTTGAAACATGAAAATGAAAGTTTGCGGGAGGATGTGGAAGCGCTGGAAGGAGTGAGACAGAAACTGGAGGAAAAAACGAGAGAGGTGGAAGATTTGAAAACTGAACTGGAGGATGTGACGCAAGCGAAGAAAGAAGAAAAAGATATGATGAGAAAATTGATAGCTGAAGGTAAGAATCTTTTACCGCCTGATAGAAAAGTGATTGTTATATAGTTAGGGTGAACACCAAACGTGATTGGCTGATTTCTGGTTATAAATATAAATATTATGTATTGCCATTAACGTGTAATATAATTATTCCATAGAAATATTTCAGGCTATTTAGTAAATTCAAATTATCAATTTTCAAATCATAATTTGTTATTATAAATTAAGAAAACGTCGAAGCTGTCTGCATAATATAGGCAAGATCAACATAATCATCACAAGTATTTAAGATTTCTAGCAACATTCGCTTACATTTCTTTTTAAACGTTGATTTACTCAAATTACGAATTGATAGAGGTAAACAGTTCCAAATTTTCACGCCCATTGTTGATAGTGATTTTGAAGTTATATTAAGTCTAGCTCTGGTTGGCTTTAGATAAATGCAATGCATCCCAACGAGAAACAAACGAAAACGTTCATTGGTTAAAAATATTTATTTGGACGAGCTTTCGACTGGCAAACTGCAGTCTTCTTCCACTTTGATCTACCCGTCGAAGACTGCAGACTGGCAGTCGAAAGCTCGTCCAAATAAATATTTTTAACCAGTGAACGTTTGTTTGAAACTCTTAATATGAATCCTGGTTTCGCATCTAACATCTTTAAACGAAAAATTGTTGCCTGCCCCGACCGGCTACGTACATAAATAAACAAAATGGCGGCACAACACGCAAGTTTATAAACTAGGATTTTCCAAGTTTGTGTTAAAATAAAGAGATGTAAAAGAGAAGGAAAATACACAACAGGCAACAGGATATACTGCTGAAACCACAGGTTCTTTTAATTCTCGACTTCGTCTCGGGAAACAATGAGAATCTCGGGAAGAAAAAAGCATTTCCCTTGAAAGCAGATACAGTATAAGTGTATATTATAGTGTAAAAATACTGCTGAAGATGAATGGAAATTGATTCGGAATATACAGTTCACATAGACTTCGTAGTGAATTCATACGCTTTTTTTCGGGATAACTAGTTTTATGTTTTTTTGTAAGTAGAATCATCTAAATTAACAAAAAAAAACAACGCATAATGTGTAATTTCATTTCCTGTTAGGCGAAGAGGTGATAGCTATGTACCAGAACGAGGTCCAGCAACTCAAGGGAAAACTCATACACGAGCCTGCGATCGACTTCAAACGTGGAGTCAGCGGCAGTGTCGAAGAAATGCGACGCCTGATTGAGCTGGAATATAACATCGGAAAAGAAAAGAATTATCAAAACGACCAAGAAATTGAAGAAGAATGTTTGAAAATCATGCAAGGAAGTGACAAAAAGCCTAAAGATAAAATTCTCGGTAAAAATACAGGACAAATGAACACAAAACAAGATGGTATCTGGACCTATAGTTGGTTATCACTTATTGTGATCCTTATTTCGATCCCAGTACTTTTCACTCAATTCCCGACGCATGTAGTGATGACGTGCGTCCTATTGTATCTATCCACCTTGGGATACCTTATATGGAAGAAGACAGGGGGGTGCAAGAAGATTTTAAAACCGGGGGAGGCGAACGATGCATTGTCTAAGGCGGTCAGTGATATTTACGAGGAGAATCAAAGTTTGAGGAAAACTGTTGAACAACTCATTGTTCGGGTCGCGTCGGAAACTGTCGAGAAAAACGAGCTCGCAAAGAAGACTGGGACGAGTGGTATGACCGCGCAAGATTCTGGAGCTAGGGACCTGGGGCGAGATTCACGCGCGGCGAGTGGCCTGGGGCAAGAATTGGCAGAGAAGGCGAAAATGATTGAAACTTTAACTGAAATGCGTAAAAAGCTGACGGAAGAGGGCAAACAGTTGAAAGCAAAGTTACGAGCTAACGAAGGTGTTGTACAACAGAAAGATAAAGTAATTAAGAAGCTTGAGCAGAAATTACGCGATCTCATGGACGGGGAAGGCGTTGATTTATCCACTGAAAAAATCCTACAAGAAATCCGCCAAGATGATGAACAAAAAGACGCGAAGAAACGAGCAGCGCTTGAACGCTTCCAGGAATTGACTGTCACCGTTATGAGGAACGCAAAAGGTGAAAAGACTTTGGGAGGAATGTTTGTCGTGTTTGTGACTGTGGGTGTTGTGTTTCTTGGTGTGCGTCAGAGCTCATTGCTGCTTGGATCAAGTGTGCTTGCTTTGTTATGCATTGTCATGGCTTTGGTCTTTTGGTTCATCATGAAATCACGCAATGAGGTATGTATGTTAAACAACTTTATTTAAGGTTACAGAACACCCTTTTTGGCGTTTTGCGGAAAATCGCTACTGCGTGCTCAATATCACTTCGATTTTCATCAAATTTTCACCAAATGTGCGCCAGTGCATGCAAAGTATGGTAAAGTTGTAAAATAAAATAATGTAAGAATTGTTCAGGAGAATCTTAAATCGCGGCACTTTCACGCTTTTGAGTTGTTTTCCTGCTGGTTTTAAGATATATTTATGAAAATTTTCATACAGTAAAATAGTTGTTCTAAAAAATTGTGTTCGGAAATATTTGTTTATTTCGTCATTCCGCTGATATGGCGATTTCTTTAACGACTGCAATATATTTCTGAATCGTTTGAGTGAATTGCTCCTTATTATTAAAATATCCAAATACACAATTTTGGAACTGACGTCTTTAGCTATGTCCTGTGAAAATTTGAGCAAAAATAACTCTGCGAGTTTTCAACATTTTTCGTTCAAACTTGGTCAGATAGTAGAACTAGTCTAATGCTTTCATGGAAACCAATAAAAAAATTAGGCAAAATTAACACTCAAAGAACTTTATTTAATTGCCCAGAGATAGATTATCAGTCATAAAACATCATTCGTCTGACGGACCATCAGTGATCTATGCTGACAATGGTGCGTAATGATTCAATATTTTCTAGGTGGCAAAGTTGGCTGAAGAATTGAACCTAGAGGCGGAACGAAGCCTGGAAAGCAGCAAGGAAATACAAGAACTATCCACCCTGGTTGAAAAACACTTGGAGGTCGTCACGAAGCAAAAACGAGCGATTTCTGCACTTGAAAGACAACTTAAAGTCGAACATGGCAGGTAAGAGCAATACAAGAGTATATAATGAAAAATTCCTACCAAGCAATTTCCGCACGCTTATACAAAAGTATACAAAATTTGCAAAACTTTGCAAGGCTATATTTTCCGCATTTTACAACATTTCGCAACCAAACTTTGCAATTTTACTAATTTTAGTATGCTCTTTCTAGCTGTGGTGATTTATTTGCACCTCCTTGCCTAGTTTTAAAATTAGTCTATAATGGAAATTGTCTATTGAGGAGAAAGAGCTACCTTTACATTGACATCAGTAAATGGTTAGACTTTCGCGTTTTTCCCGGATAAGGACGTTAAATCGCCAGTACCTCGGATCCCCTATAAATTGGCAATAGCTTGTTGGGCAATCCGCCCACCAATGAGCGAGAAACTCATTTAAACTCAATGTTTTGGTATTTCAGGAACGAGAATCAGAAACTAATCATCGCCAAGCTCACGTGGACGATCCAGGAAGGCAAAGACATTGAAAACCTACTGGGGAGATCTGGCTCTTATCGCGGGCAGGATAAAAAAGCTTTGGAACACGCCTTGAAGACAATGGCCGAGAACCACGTCAAGGAAAAGATAGATTTATTCAAAACCATGCGCGCGCATCTTGCTGAAGACGATGTGGATAACGAGGAGAAGCGATGGATACTACAGGATCTAAAACAAGCAACTAGGGATATCACTGCAGCACTCCCAAGCGTCCCTCAGAAGTTGAATGGATGTAAGGTGAAGGAGTTGAAGCGATTCTGGAGAGTTGGTGCGGTATTTGCGAGTTGTTTCTTGGCCTTCCTTTGGCTGTTCTACGCTGAATATTTTACGCTGTCTCTCTTGCCTCTGATTGGCTGCGCTGCTTATGTGGTTCTCAAGAAGACTGGGACAGAGTGTGATAGATCATGTGACATGAAAATCAGGTATCTTAAAGAAAGTCTATAACATAGAACTACCCCGTCAGTTTCAATTTGCCGAGAGGCTTAGCTTAAAGCAACTGAGTTCTATCCCATATTAATTCTGTACAACATCAGATCACTTTAAGGTAGCTCACATTCAAGAACATGTACTACCTCTGTATGATCTAACCATGCTTAACTCAGCAGTGAGTTCTGTACAACAACAGATCACTTTAAGGTAGCTCACATTCAAGAACATGTACTACCTCTGTATGATCTAACCATGCTTAACTCAGCAGTGAGTTCTGTACAACATCAGATCACTTTAAGGTAGCTCACATTCAAGAACATGTACTATAAATACTTAAATATTTTCTCTTGAACTCAGGCGTCTCGTGCTGGATGTATTATTCGTCTGCATTGCCATATCAACCATTAGTCTAGTCCATAGCAACGGCTATATTCAACAGATGGCGTTTGTCATTGTCCTAGCAATGGCCGGGGGGAGAATGTTGGTTAAGAAACTGGTAATGAGTGATGAGTCAGTTCTGAGTCAGCAAAAATCTCAGGAAATCGAAGAGTTACGAGAACGAGTTGGCGAAGAGGTGTGTTTAATGTTTTCACGTTGTTTGAAAGCAAAGATATGAGGTGCTCTGCATCAGCTAAAGAATACACCAGAAATGTGACTGAGTCGACTTGTAAACACAAGGGCGGCTCTTTCTGCCACCACGCGACCAATATCTGATCATAAAACACAGCTAAGGCGAAAGATTTTGCCGAGAAAAGAAAATCGGAGTACCCAAAGGAAACCCCTCGAAGCCCAGCAAAGAACCAACCAGAATTCTAATGATCTGAGTTTTTTAAGCACAGGAAAGTTACCCAACCTAAAGCCTGGCTTACACTATCAAATTAATCATTATTCTCATTAGGTTCGTAGACAGGAGAGAATGGCCGAGCAGATGGAAACCTGGAAACGACTCTTGGAGGTCGAGAGATCTTACAATAAGGAGTCAGATGACGTCATCACTGAAGTCAGGGAGATGGAACAGCGAACACAACGCGAGGTAGGGCTACCTGTGGTAATGCAGGCTCTGAACAGTGTTCACTTATCACTATAATTTGGAACTGACATTTTACAAAATATCTTAACTGACAGCTGACAAATGATGAAACAGTAATTTGGAACTGACATCTTACAAAATATCTTAACTGATAGCTGACAAACGATGGAACAGTAATTTGGAACTGACATCTTATAAAATATCTATACTGACAGCTGACAAAAGATGAAAGAGTAATTTGGAACTGACATCTTACAAAATATCTTAACTGATAGCTGACAAATGATGAAACAGTAATTTGGAACTGACATCTTACAAAATGTCTTAACTGATAGCGATACTTATCCACCTTCTTCTCGGCAATTATCGCTTAGGTTCGACGAGAGATCGAGAGGTTGAGAAAAGAGAAACGCGAACGTCTTAAACACATCGAAGAATTAGAAAAAGAACTGAAGAAATCCACGACACATTGTTCCAAACAACGTCGACAGATGGAGGAACTCAACAGAGTGATCAAGGAACTGGAGAAAAAACAGAAACAAGGATCGCGGGAGGTCGATGTCTTGAAGGAGCTGAATAAATACGAGAAAGAAGAATTGAGCGTAGCTTTGGACGAAAAGAAGAAATCTCGCGAGGAAATGATGAAGAATGTGCAGAAAGAAAAAGAGAAAGTGAAGCATGAGACGACGTCGAAAATGAATCATGAGAAAAAAGAGTTGGTTCAGAAGGTGAATGGTTTGATAATCATTTATACCATCAACACCAACATCATTATCACCATCATCATCACCATCATCATCATCATCACCACCATCACCATCACCATCACCATCACCATCACCATCACCATCACCATCATCATCACCATCACCATCATCACCATCATCACCATCATCACCATCATCATCATCACCATCATCATCATCATCATCATCACCATCACCATCACATCATCATCACCACCATCATCATCATCATCATCATCATCATCATCATCACCATCACCATCATAATCAATCACCATCAACCCATCATCATCATCACCATTGTCATCACCATCCATCCTTAAAAAACTCATTAATAATTCAGGAGGAAAACACAAAGAAAAATCATAAGCGTGTCGTATCTTTATATGTGATAAAAAAAAATCATGTTAATTTACATAAACTTTAGCTTTGATTTTCTCTGTTTAGACAAAGTTTATTTTAAAAAATTACTTCGCCAATGAACTCATATAAAATGGGTCGTTTTTTAAGCCATTTAAAGCACTTGTAGTCGTGTTTTATCAGATATAAAACGCTCGACTGCGCCTCGCGTTTTATATCTGATAAAACACTCCTACGCGTGCTTTAAATAGCACATCATCACGACAATCAAATCCTAAGTGCTACTCTTTTTCTACCATACCTAGGTGACAGAACTTGAGGAAAAACTAAGCGAGGAAAGAAAGATTGCGAAAGACTTCTTGGACCAAGTTGACTCAGAACTTGTGAAGAACGAGAAGATGAACGGGGAGATTGCTGAGATGAAATCTCTCATGGAACACGAGAGAGAGACGAGGGAAGATCTCAGAAAACGTTTCCAAGAAATTAACAAGATCAGACAAGACAGAGAAAAGGTAATGTCTTTCTTAGATCTTGTTGAAATATACTTCTGGGAGATTTCAGAACTAATCAGTTGTCCCAACTGCAAACCATGTGAAGTCATCTAGATAAAAACTATTAGAAAATTGGTTGGGAAGATGATACTGATGCTTTGTTTACATCCACAAAAGAGTGAATGATAGAAAATAGATTAATCCACTGTGCAAGTTGACAAAGTCACTAAGTTCACAAGAACTATTTCTCGACTATTCGCACCTTTTCACTGAAACTTTGGAAAGAAAGTCAAGGATAAATGTAATTAACGCATTTGAGAAAACTTGCCAGAATATTCTCAAACGTTTCTTCGTTCTTAATCACAGGACAAGACGTGGGATATTAATAGCGATTCTCATTCTAGGTTCTACTGGACCAAATCGACGACCTTCAAAACCAAATGGCAAAGCAAAAAAAGACGTTAGAGTCAATCACACAAGAATTAGAGGACAATACAGATAGTTCCAAGAAGGAAAAATCACAATCTCTTTACGATATCCAAGAGAAGCAAATCTTGGAACTTCAGAAGCGGTTGTCAATGGCAACCAAGACAATAGACGAGTTACGTCAGCAAGAGAAGAGTACCATGAAGGATATGCAAGACCTGAGGGACAGACAGGGTAAATTGTTGAAGGACATGGGTACATTGCAGGATAAATCAGGACAAGATCACAGGTAATTCAGTTCATAATTACAACAAAGAACAAAGGGTAACTAAAGCTTTAGAATTATCTATTGGGTGTCCCAAAAAAACCTGTTTGATTTCGTGTAACGTACAAACTATAAAAGTTATCGCAATGAAATAAAGATCATTACATGCAGAAAGGACTAACTTAGATTTTGATATATAACACTTGAATTTACATGCAATATTGAGCGAGATACGACCAAAATAAAAAAAATATATTATTTAACAAGTATAACTACATTGGTAATTATAAGGTTGTTTTATGCTAATTTTTGGCATTTTCAAAAACAGTAGTTCAACGTTCACACATCAATAGCGCAGTCAACATTGTGTGTAAATTCAAATGTTATATATCAAAATCTAAGTCAGTCCTTTCTAAATGCAACGATCTTTATTTCATTGCGATAGCTTTTATAACTTGCTATTGCATAATGAACATCATTATCGAGGCTAATCTTATCAATTTTCAATATCAGGACAATTCAACGTAAACAAAAAGAAATCAAAGATTTAAAATCTTCGCTTGACAAACTCAGTCGTGAAAATGAGAGGATGGGGAAGAAACTAGAAAGCGCGTGGCTGGAAAGTAGCCTGGGTGCTAGAGTTGTGAAGGCTGAGGTGGTAAATGAGGACAAAGAGGGACATGGTGATGATAGAAGGGGGCAAGATGGGGGTAGAAGGGGACAAGATGAGGGTAGAAGAGGACAAGACGAGGGTAGAAGAGGACAAGATGAGGGTAAAAATGAACCAGCGATGAAGACTGAGAATGAAGCGACCGTGGTGAACGAAGGACTGGACACTAGCAGAAGCGAAGGTGAGTGAATACACTGAGCTCAATGAATGGAGAGGAATGTGGTGGATAAATTGGATAATCTTTCAGATTTAAACAGTCCGGGGACTCTGGATAATTTCTGTCTAGATAAGCAGCATTTTTTAAAATGAATTCCCTCGAGTGCTGGCAACGTTTGTCAGTACCATTGACAACCAACTTTTTCCTCTTATGATAAAACGATCAATCTTTCACCAAATATAATATTTTGACAGACATAGCTGTAGCAAAACTAGCAGAGGTTTCAGAAAATGAAGACTACATCAAAGAGAATAAAGAGAATAACAAGCGAGGAGGTAGGATTTAAAACACGTTGTAGTAGAATAGCTCATTCGTTATCAAGAGACAACTCTACCCACATAAGTACAAAATCTATTTAGGATGAATCGCTAAGTAAAAATTGCAGAACATGAACCAAAAATCAATAAGACACTTTGCGCTAACAACATACAGCATGCTAACCGTATTCGCATGATCAACCAAAATTGCAATGCAATTTAACAGTGGTGGATCCAGCACGGGTTTTTTTAAAGAAGTGCTGAGCGAGCAGTCAGTCACACTGAATCCAGCACTGGCTAGCAGCGTACTCATAAAAGTGCACCTAGTAGTTTCTTGGTTACAATGATATTCACGAAATGCACCTCTCTTACAGTGCCAGCGGATTTTGAAAACAAGGACACGCAAGGTATTCTGTATTGGCTCGGTACAAGCGGTGACACCGAGGAATGGAAGAATGCGGCAGAGGCTGGCTTGGTCAAGATCACTCGTTCTTCGTACGGGCACGGCAAGGCTTCGGATGTCGCTGACCGCAAAGGATCATGGTGTAGTACGAGCAATAAAGCGAACCAATGGTGGAAGATTGATTTCGGTGATAAACGATCCATTTTACCATCAGCTTATACTTTACAGGTACAAAGTAGTTGAATATTTGACCCATATTACGCTGGAGTCTTACGCCTGACAGAACAGTCTCAGTGTCACTAAGCCTGAATAATGGACCTATTACCTAATGAACAAAATTTTGATCTCAATAAGTCTGGACAAAAATTTCACCACAGCTTGAGAGAGATAAAACAACTCTAAAATGACAGAGTAACAATCCAAATCATTTCTAAATTTCAGACAGCAACCAGAAACGAAGTTTTGGACCCATATTGATCGCTTACTCTCAAGATAAAAAACTAGCGTGACCCCTCTCTTGACGTAACATGCATATCCTCAATAATCCATGGTGGCAAACAGCTCACTTTTTTCGGTCGAAATATTTTGAAAACTAAACAAGATATAAACAATCTGTAATAGAGTTTAATATGTAGTTTTATAAGTTCTTTCAAATGAACTAAACTAATTTTTATTGCCAATGTCCTTTAAACACAAGTGGGATATCTTCCTAAATCTTGGCAAACTCTGACAATCATAAACCAGAATTTGTGTTCATTCCAAAATTTTCTATAATTTCCCTTACAGCACGGCTGGAGCGGAGTATCGGGTGCTGTGAGGAACTGGGTACTAGAAGGATCACGTGACGGCAAAGTATGGCACATTCTTAGAAATCACGTCAACGACGAGACGCTGGACAAAGGGTACGCGGCCGCAACTTGGAAGATCGATGACGTCAACACGCCATATCGCTATCTGCGCGTGCGTCAAACGGGGAAAAATGAAGCCGGGAAGGACTCGCTGAGACTGAGCGGGTTTGAAGTCTATGGACAGCTTGTTTTAAATGATTAGATTTCGGTTTATCTTGCACAAATAGTTAGAGCGTATCGTATTGTATTACACGACTATATTGAGACGCACACACTGTTTCACGGATCGGCAACACAAAATATTCTTCTAAGCTAGCAAAGTTTCTGTGATGACAGTAGGAATTTTGTATGGGTAAATTCTAAGTTTTGAAGGATTTGTAAGAAATATTTGAGGGAGCCGACTTACTGTTTAAAGTGCCTATGACACGAAATTTCACCCCAAATGTTTATGATTGCATTGTAAAGATCATTTAAAATGACTTAATAATTTCTTTTATAGAATTTTGGTAACTTCCTTTGCAAGATATTCAACTTTGTTTCATATGCAAATATCACCGGTGTGACATCACATCACGTAATGAGTTTTCAGAAAAGTATAGTTTTCTTGACGAATACGTATCTAAAATACTTAAAAATTGCCCTTGTATATGTATTAATTTCATAACTGGTAATTAACCCTGGTAAAATATTAATCAAGGTAAAATATAATCAAGGTAAAATATTGCGTAATCAAAATATTGCGTAACCTATTGCGTAATCAAGGTAAAATATTGCGTTCTCAAAATGTCATTATGCGATTTGATGTCACATATTTGCATATGAAACAAAAGTTGAATATCTTGCAAAGGAAGCAAGTTACCAAAATTCTATAAAAGAAATTATTAAGTCATTTTAAGTGATCTTTACAATGCAATCATAAACATTTGGGGTGAAATTTCGTGTCATAGGCACTTTAAACAGTAAGTCAGCTCCCTCAAACATTTCTTACAAATCCTTCAAAACTTAGAATTTACCGATGCAAAATTCCTACTGTGATCACAGGAACTTTGATAGTGTAAACACCAGACTTAATTTAAGAAGCTGAATGATATCAAGTTATCTATGAATACAAATTAGAATGACTTGTAACAGCTAGCAACTTTGCAGCAATTTCTCAACAAGCTGAAACTATTCCGTCCAACACATATAGCTTTTTCACATCATAGATATATAAATAATTATATCAATATCTATTTATTACCAATTTTTTAAATTTATAACGTAATCATAGGCACTGTTTTAGGAAATATTTAATATTTGAATGTTAATTTAGTTATATTGTATAAAATTTTAAATTTAATAAAATATTTCACAATCATTGGCTATACAAACTTCAACGAAGCAATGGATCTATTCCCTAATGAACAAAATTTTGATCTAGACAAGTCTAAACAAAAATTTCATCACAGCTTGAAAGAGTATCACAAAAAGTGTGGATAATATAGCCCTGCAAAGTTTGCCGTTTTTCAGCCATTTTGTATTACGCGCGGGAAATTGATACCTTTTTGAAACTCTAAGCGTGCAAAGCTTAAAGGGGAAGTCAAGTCCATAATGTAAACAAACGGTTTGTTTACATTTTGAACTGCTGTATTTTTTAAAATATGATGTACTGTCGGAATATCTAACAGCATTTT